ACTATATATAGACTGTTTAACAATTAATTGTTAAATAATCATGTTTGGAATTGAAGAACAAATCTTCCTGCTTGGATAAGATTTGATGCTAAACAGCTGACCATGTGTTATTTTGGTATGCAGAAAGATTCAAATTGCTTTCCTGACAAACAAAACTGTTCTTAAGATACTTTCTTTCAAAACACAAATTGTGCTGGCCCCAAACTTTTTAGTGGTAACGTATATGCTAAATATAACTAACAATAAAAAAGTTGTCTTTTTTAAATGCAAAATGCATAAAAACTGCAGCTATAGCTGAGGATGCCAGCGACAAAGTAAAAAATGAAATCCTAGATCTGCAAATGAAAAAATACATCATCTGAAACACAAGAGGACAAAGAAATCTCTGCACATTCCATGCAGAGTGAAACATTATTGAGGTTAATGAACACTCTTTTAAAATGTTATATACACAAGTAGAGGACCATTGAAGATTTTACCCTTGTATGTGCTAAGAGCCATGGGACAAGGGCTTTGAAGTTCAGTTCTAGTCTCACTAAATGAACCCAGCCCCCTCTTCTAAGCCCCCACTGCCTGTCATTCTACAGCCGCCTGTCACATCACTCTTTGATGTGGGGAGCCTGCAGCCTTGCGACCATGACTCTGTCGCTGTCAGAAGTGTCCCTTTTATGCTAATCTACAACCAGCTCCCCCTAACCAATTCTTAATCTTAACTATACGAAAAACCAATCACACTGCTTTTAGATCAGAGTGAAGGGGCAGCTTCTACCATCCCCTTCCCCTGTAACTGTGTGGCAGGATTACGTCTCTATTCCTCAACTCCATCAGGACGAGTGTCGAACGGCACCTCCCAAATCCTCGCTCGCACACAACTCTGAAATCAAACCAGATGATAGAAGTTACTATTTTTAGTCTTGCTTTCCTGCTTGAAATTGTCAAGTGGAATGCATCCAATACTAATGAAACAGGAAGGCTTACTTTGGCTCCCTTTGAACTGGAGGTGAGGACAGACACTCCAGTCTGGTGCATCTTTTTAGGTCAGTCGGGTTGATGTGGTTGCTAAAGCAATTATTCAGACGGTTAACGTATTGGTCGTATAAACCTTAATGAGCAATTTCGAGGCCAACCAAAGGCAAAAACTAAATCTGACTCATCTATTTCAATGGAAAGTACTAGTCTCATCTCAATGTACACTGTTAAAAATAAAGGTGCTTCTAAAGGTTCTTCAAGCGATGCCATAGAAGAACCATTTTTGGTTCCACAAAGAACCATTCAGTCAAAGGTTCTTTAAAGAACCATCTCTTTCTTACCTTTTTATAATCTGAAGAACCTTCTTTTTCCACAAAGAACCTTTTGTGAAACAGAAAGGTTCTTCAGATGTTAAAGGTTCTTTATGGAACCATTTAGACAAAAGGGTTCTTCTATGGCATCGTGAAGCACCTTTATCAGATATAATCTTCATCCAAAGTGTGTAAACAGAAGCCATTGTTGGCTTCCCTTAAAATGTGAAGTAACCGTAACTGTCGCCCACACCTACATTTTCCAGTGCAAACTATTAACCATAACCAAACCAGACATTTTGGCTCTGTGAGAACCTGTAAGATAAGAGACACAGTGGGTGGGCACGCTGATCTGTGCTGAGTCAGGTTTGTAACTGCATCATCAAAGGTGACAATCTGCAAAAGCAAGCATTGCTCTTGGCGAACTATTGCTTTAGTACCTTTTCATTATTACTGTATGTTTGACAAGCATGAATGAAGTTGGAGATGAACATTTTGCTCATCCCTATTTACTGAAACTGACCACATTCAAATATTTTTACAATATTTGCCTGCGTCATAAGGGAAAGTTGCAAATGGTGTGACAGTTGATACAGGTTTTGAAGTTGCGTTCAGGTCATTGACACGTGAAGGGTTATGACTGTGCATATTTGATACCTGACTTTAGGAATGAAATGCATGTTTTGACTTTTGCTTAACTTCGAGTGCAGTGAGATGAGATTGCAGCTGAAGGAATGCTCAGGGTTTTCCCCACCCACCTGCGGTTTCTCCGTCCCTTAAAAGGAAGCAAGAAAGTCCCCAATCGGATCCTAGTCTCTAAACGTGTTTGTGTCCTTGTTTATGCAGTTTTAGAAGCTCTATCTGAACCAACACTTCACAGAGTTCCACTAAGTGATATAAGGAAACAAGTGTATCATCTCTCCATGGAGTGCACTATGTGTACAGGCACACATATTCTAATTTTAAAATATCATTGTGATTCTGGTAATAATAAGGTTTGATTTGTTAGCATTAACTAATGCATTAGGTATCATGACCTAACAATGAGCAATACTTTTACAGTATTTATTAATCTAAACTTAGGTTAACTTCCACATAAACTAATACATTTTCACATTTCAAGCTGTATAAATGAACATTAGCTGCATTTTGAACAAACATGAATTTATAAACAATAGTATATTTATAAGCTAACATTAATAATTTAGATGAATAAATGCTGGTTAATAAAAAACTGTTCTTCATTGTTAGTTTATGATATCTGATGAGAACTAATAAGACCAAATTGAACCTTATTATATAGTTTTACTCAGGTTTCCATGCTGAATATAATACAGGCAACTATGATTACACTACTTTCATCCAGCTCAGAGTTGGTGTTAATTTTGCATCACCTATTTAATCTAGAGGTTATATAGTGACTGATCAAACTGTGTACCCACATATACCAGTAACACCTTGACAAACTTGGCGAACTTTTTTTTTGATTTTGACTTTTAAGAATATCCTAGTACTAGGTGTAAAAATGTCAAACCACATTGTGCAGTTGTTATTCAAATCTTCTGTGATGTGTTTTGATGACATTTTAAAAAGATGACAATAGCTAGATAAATTTCAGTAGAAAGTAGGAAAATTATCTAAATCCACAGTAAAACATACACCATCAGCACAAGTATTAAATTATCATTAATTAGTAAAAAATCTTAGGTCAAAATATATGACATTCCTATCCTGATTACATTTCTCAGAGAACCCCTGAAAAAAAAAAAGATGACATTTGCTCTATAATTCTTTAGTAAGGTTGTACAAGAAATGCAGAAATGTGTTACATTCGGACAGGATTTAAAATTCTGAAAAGTCTTTGGTATTTGTGTGCATGTAAGTCTTGCTTCTGCAAGTTCGGTTATACAACAGAGCTGTATAGTGACAATATCCTCAGCCATGCTTTGTAGTAATGAGGAAACCACAGCTACATGGCTTTTAAGTATGGGACTGGTAGGGTGACACGTTTGACGTATGAGGTACAATAGAACAGAGTAAGTCAGTTAGTGCACTGATTATACATAACCTGACAACATTTAAGGTCATGCAAATGTCTAAAATTGTGTTCTTTAATCTGGTGAATGACCAATGAAATGAATACATGTTTATGTCTAAAACTGTGCAAATAATTAGTATATTATTTATAATATTTATCTCATGTATATATACACACTACCAGTCAGAGTTTTTGAACAGTAAGATTTTTTATGTTTTTTTTTAAAGAATTTTCTTCTGCTCACCAAGCCTGTATTTATTTGATCCAAAATACACCAAAAGCAGTAATATTGTGAAATATTTTTACTATTTAAAATAACTGCTTTCTATTTGAATATATTTTTAAATGTTATTTATTCCTGTGATTTCAAAGCTGATTTTTTAGCATCATTACTCCAGTCTTCAGTGTCACACGATCCTTCAGAAATTATTCTAATATTCTGATTTGCTGCTCAAAAAACATGCATTATTATTATTCATATTTAAAAAGGTTGAGTACATTTTTTCAGGATTCTTTCATGAATATAAAGATCCAAAGATCAGCATTTATCTGAAATAAAAAGCTTTTGTAACATTATACACTAAACCATTCAAAAGCTTGGAGTCAGTCATTTTTTTTTTTTTTTTTGGGAAAGAAATTATAGAAATTAATACTTTTATTTAGCTAGGATGCTTTAAATTGATCTAAAGTTATGAAAAGACATTTATAATGTTACAAAATATTTCTATTTCAGATAAATTATGTTCTTCTGAACTTCCTATTCATCAAATAAATCTAAAAAAAAAAATTATACTCAGCTGTTTTCAACATAATAATAATAATATATATATATTTTTTAGGTGGAGTTTGGGGGGGCAGAGCCAATTGATTTTGCCAGAGCTCTTAATAAAACAAATATTTTCACATTTTCTAATTTTATTTGTATTATCTTATTATTTTAATGAGTAAGTTAAGGCTAAATTATTTTTAATTCATGTTTTTAAAAAGAAGCTCTACTCTCGCGACTCGCGAATCTCAAAGTATCGCGTGAGTGGACTCTCTTCTCATTCTGTTCCAGCTTTAGTCTGCAGAGATATGCTAAATAAACAAAATTTTAATAAACCCACAACTAAAAGAGTGGAGTTCTCTAACTCTGACACTTCCAATATTTATTATACTACTGCTAATACTGACACAGCAAAAGAGGCGGATACTTCTACATTAGGTAAGATATAAGTTTTTATTCCACTCTTTGTATAGTGTAGCAGTCATTGTTAATTGTAAATTTATTTTAAATGAAGAAGAAATGATATAGGCTATTAATCATTGAAATGTAGAAAATATGGTATATGCTATATGTAGTAAAAAAAAAAAAAATCAGAGCTCGTGGTCTGCCAGTAATTGCATCTATATATATAGATATATTTATACAACAGTTCGTTCTGGTTCTCAAATCTGATTGGTTGAGAACCGTGAGATATTGTACTGGTATCGCTACAGGAACGCCCTTTCACAATTTTGTATCACTCCGCTTGTTCTAGCCGGGTCTATGTTTTTTTTAATTATTCACTGAGCTAATCGTAGAGTACGTTAGTTAATATAAGAAGAAACGTCTAGCTTCGCAGTCTCTCTCTCTCTCATTCGGCACTCGGCCTGCGGCCTCGTGCCTCTGGCCTAATCTCAGCCATGCTGATATAGAGCCGGTATCGCTCGAGTACGAGAGTGATATTGCTTTTTATATTGAGTGATATTGAGAGTGTTTATCGCGTTTTATCCAAAACGCGATAAACGCCATTTAAAACAAAAAAATTAGTTTCTGTCAAAATCAGTATTGTATTTGGTTGGTATTGAAAAGTCCATTTTTAATTTTACGCAAAATGCGATATCCGACGAGTTATTCTGTCATGTTTTCTCCCTTTCTTTCCAAACCGCGACAAACGCCAGTCTCCATTTTCTGCAGAAAAAGCGAGATATTCGCTCAACCAATCACAGCGCACCATTCCACGCACTCTAGACAGTAATGGCGGCGCTTTGAATACACCCGGCATCCTAGTTTTCCTCATCTACTTTGTACTTTGTGATCAAAAAACAAACTTAGGGCTGCACGATAAATCGCATGTGATTGTCATGCGCATCTCGTCAGTAAAGCCGGTTCTGTGATTAATAGTAAATCTCGTTTTGGAACCAAACTCTTCATATATTATTGTCCTATACTGACCTGTACGAGGAACTTGCTGGAACTGCCTGCATGAAGTACAGAGCAGACGTTCTGGCCCTCCAGTGCCATTTCTTTGCAGGCAGAGTGAAGCTTACACAGTCTTCAACACTTTCCTTGAGAAGATCAACCAGCTGTTTGTGGGAACCACCATAGAACGCCTCCAGCAAGAGCACACTCATGGATGCAGGTCCCATCCAAACCTGAAATTTAGTGTGAAAGCACGCTATTACTGTAGCGTTAAAAAAAAAAAGACAAACAAAAAAACATCACATTTCAATGACTCACATTAAAGAAAAGAAGACCGTAATAACCTATGATTAATAACCACATACTGGAGAGGGTGTTAATAATAATCGCACTGGCAAAATTTGCCCACGTACAGTACTTTCCAAATCACCTAGAATTTCATTATATAGTATGTGTCATAGTTAAGTCATAGCTAGAGTGCATAATGAGTTAGGCAGCAAAAAACAGAAAAAATACTTCAGCTGATCGTTTGGAAATTTACTTCTCAATTTGATTGTTCCCTGTTGAAAAAACCAGCATATGCTGGTTAGGTATGTTTTGACGCTGGGATGCTGGTTTAAGCTGGTCCTTTGCTGGTTTATGCTGGTCCTTTGCTGGTTTATGCTGGTCCTTTGCTGGTTTATGCTGGTCCTTTGCTGGTTTATGCTGGTCCTTTGCTGGTTTATGCTGGTCCTTTTGCTGGTTTATGCTGGTCATGTGCTGGCAAAGGACCGGCATAAACCAGCAAAGGACCGGCATAAACCAGCAAAGTACCAGCATAAACCAGCAAAAGGACCAGCATAAACCAGCAAAGGACCAGCATAAACCAGCATCCCAGCGTCAAACCATACCTAACCAACATATGCTGGTTTTTTCAACAGGGTTGTTTTGAAAACTTAAGATTCCGGGGTGAAATTAAATAAAAGCGACTTTACTAATTTAACTCGCTTCTTCAATAAGATGACAATGACTCAGCTTTTTCCAAAATAGTGAAGGTTTTACAGTATCAAGCTACTTTGTCCCGCAAGAAGCATGTAGCTAGCATGTAGTGACAAAATATGTACTGAATCAAGCACACAGATAAACTGCAGAATTAACTAATGCTATAATCAAAAGCTCTTCATCAAGTGGCACTGGGAAGTCTGATTCATTTTACTGAATTGGTTAATTTGGACACAGAAAAAAAAAAAAAGATTAAATGACCCAAGTTCCTACCCAGCATTTTAGGTCTTCTTTTCAATGGCATTTAGTTAAATGCTGCTGTTTCCGACTGTTGTATAAATCAGGGTGTTTTTTTATGCGAGTGAGTCATTCATTCAGAAACCCCTTGCTGTTTATGTGCCAGATAAATCCAGCATATTTGTGTAAATAAATTGCAATGCCAGTTATGCATAAGTTTGCAGTTATGCATAGCTTGAATGTAGTTAGCAACTTGTAGTAGCTAACAACTTTTTAAATACCTATATAAAGTACCTTTATGTAGTTATAGCTTACAGCTAAATTCAAAATTTTAAAAGTTGCTGAACACTGAATAAATGCGACGCTCTCAGATGGCACTCAAGACACTTCAAAATGACAATAATTTGTTTGTACGAGTTTAAGTGGTATCTTAAGTGGTGGCCGTTGACCATGCTTTTTTTCCAAGTCTAAACACCCATGTGATAAACACTGCTGAGCAAAGCACTTCATAGCAAGCAGAACTGTGAAAACGAATCAAAACTTCACAACAGGGAACTGGAAAAGTAACAACATAAGTAGGTTCAAGCGTCTAACCTAAAAGGCTGGGGTTTTCCAATCGCTCGGATGTACTGAGTGGGATTTTCTCACACAATGATTTACCTCTACCCTTTTACCTCAGAGCCTCTATTTTACACAGGTAAGGCGTGAAAAGCATTCGACCTCAAGATGGAGAGGAAAGTGAGGAGTTAATGTTGCCTTGTTCAGCCCCCCACACAGTTCAAGCGAAAGGGAAACCCCACAGTGTCCGACCTCACAATTAAAAGCAGCACCATCATGCCTGTCTATGGATGCTGAGTCAATGCTCAACTGCATTCAAAAGGCTCATCTGTGTAAGCGTTTACTCCTTTGAATCAATGGGTTGCCATATAACAACACCATAACAGAAGAGTGGGGGATTCAATTTCTACTGATTAAGACAAAATACCTTTGAAGGCGGCGTGAAAAATTACATTTACATGCCAAAAACTATTATAAATAACAAGCCAACATTTTGCCAAGTCATGACCAGTGTTGGGGAAAGTTACTTTTAAAAGTAATGCATTACAATATTGCGTTACTCCGTTACTTTTATGGAAAGTAATGTTACATGTTACATTGTGGAAACACAAATGTTATGTTTATCTAAAATCATTTTTGCTTATTAGTATGGTTGAATTGGATCATTGAAGGTCACCAGCAAAGACACTGGTTAATAAAATGAGATTAAATGCATAAAGGATATTTGTGTTATTTAACACAGGGGTTAAAGCAAAAAAAAATCTTTTGACTGAAAATTTTTCCTCAGCCAAACCCCATTCCACAGCCATACCTGTCACACACCCAGTTTAAGAGCAATTTTTTCTTATAATTAGGAGCGTTTGTCCTCCTAATTAAAAAATTTAGGAGCACCTTCTGATCAATAATAAAAAATTCTGATCAAAAATTAGCCTTCCTAATATGAGGTGACATTTGACTCAAAGTGATTTACAGGGGCATTTTCTTTTTACCTTTGTAATGGCATTTTTCTCATTTTATTAAATGTATGCAGTGTTTCCTAGGATTTTTTCCAGCTGTGGTGGCAGGACTATTTCTCATGGACCACGCCCCCTCCCCACCCAAGAATCACATGCACTCAGAATTGAATTTATTTTAACTAAAAAAGAATGCTTACTTTTCTTTTTAGGAGCTCTTGTCCTCCTAATTTAAACATTTTAGGAGCACCTTCTGATTAATAATCAAAAATTCTGATCAAAAATTTTCCTTCCTAATACGAGGTGACATTTGACTCCTTAAAGTGACTTACAGGGGTATTTTCTTTTTACCTTTGTAATGGCATATGCTAAAAATTTAACTAAATCCACCAGCAGGTGGTGGCAAGTCACTCATTTTATCACTGAATCATTCATTCAATTGATTCGCTCAAACGGCTGATTCATTCAGGAATGAAGCAAGTGATTGTCTTTATGAATGGGTAATCATGAATCACCGACTCACTAGATTCGTTCAAAAACGCACTTTCGTTGAATGAATTAAACACAGCTGTGTTTGCTTTTAGAGATGCAGCGACTGAGCTGTTACTATATTTGGAACTATTTTCGTTGAAGAAATAGAGTAAAATCAGGCAGTACTTGTTTACTGAACTGTTGTATTAAATCAATATCACATTTGCAAACTCCCTTAATAACTATTAAAAGTTGTCACTCTCCTTATCGCGATCTGTGGGCGCACAGAAAATGAGAGCGCACGAGTGAGTTCTCAAGACTCAACAGCACGTGCAAATGATACGTTCCGTCATCTGTCATCGTGTTATAAGCGCAGAACCTGCGGGAATGAGTAGAATTGTTATTAATAGCCACAATCCCGCGCCGAAATTCAAGTTCTGCTCTGTGTTCTCTGCTAATAACCTGATTGTGAATGATGCGAGCGGCATCACTATGTTGTCACTGAGAAGCTGCAGCCGTGGCGGGGATGATTTTCATCAGAACAACAACAATGCGCTAAATGTTTCTTTTCTCCTCATTTTTTCCAATTGACAGAAATCCGTTGTAGACTCGCTGCAATTAATGCAGAGTTCACAATGCACGATTTTAGCCCGATTTTTCACTCGCCGACAGGTTTTGCGAAATCGCCGACAAATGCCCGAAATCGGAGGCAAATCGGTGCTCGTTCACGCAAGTGACAATCACGCAGTGTGAATTATCAAAGATGCGATCTGAGGGAATCGCCAATGCCCGTGAAATATTTGGCATGCTAAATATCTGGAGCTGTTGGCGATTCACAATCACGCTGTGTGAAATGAGTTCTGACTGAAAAACACATCGGCGATGACCTACAGCCAATGAGAGACCAAGATACAGGGCAGCGGGAAGTTCGGGGAGGAGTTATATGAAACGTAGTTTGCGGACCAGTGTTGCCAAATCCGCGATTGCCGCCGGTTGTTTTTTATGTCAGCAGGTTGAAGCGACCCCAATAACGTGATATTTAGGCCCTGGAATGTGAATTGTACCAGGAGAACCCCGCCAAAACATGTGTACCCCCCGAATGCAATTTTTACTGGGGAACCCCCTCAAAAGCATTTGGGCTATTTTCAGTCTAGTTTTGAGTAGTAATTGGGCGGGTTTTGTAGCGAAAACCTGGCAACCCTGCACCAGACAGAGCTGTCGGCGATTCTTCCTATTGTAAAGTCATGCAGTGTGTAACCTCCTGTCGTCATTCCATCGTGCAGTGTGAGCACAGCAACAACTGAATGCTACCCCAGATAGTCGTTCAGTGTGAAACCAACAGTGATGGGACATCTTTGAAAATAGTGCAGTATGAACTCGGCATAACGGAAATCCCTCGTAGCGACGGAGAACTTTAATCCCTGTTAACATATGTAATTATTGCAGGTTTGCCTCATATTCTGAGTTTGCATTTCACTGTTTTTATTCATTTTTAGGAATACTGAATCTGTTTTTGTGCAAGTGTGATGAGTAAATGCATGTTCACATTAGTCTAGGACTACAGTAACATCATGTTCACACAGCGCACACAATGCCTGATTTCTCTCAACATGAGGACAGGAGAGCTCTTAGTCAATACATGGGAAAACAAAGTAACTGGCGTTACTTATTTGAAAAATTTACTCAGATATGTCCTTGTAAATTAAAAAACAATGCATTACTTTATTAGTCTTTTGAAAAAAAAGTAATCTGATTACGTATCTCACATTACTTGTAATGTGTTACCCCCAACACTGGCCATGACCATATAAAAAAATAAAAGAACAGAATACATCGGCATACTATAAAATGTAACTATTTAAACTGCATATTACTCATATAAATACATTCAAAAGAAGTCTGATGAAATTAATTTACACTCCACTTCATTAAACCTGTAAATCATAATCAGAAGCAATATAAATATATATATATATATATATATATATATATATATATATATACACACACATACATAATATATTCTTTTGTGT